GGGGGGGGGGGGGGGGTCTCCTTCGCACCCATGAACATAAAATTTCTCGTTATAGCTATTCGTGAATTGTATGCAATTTGTGACGTGTACAGTGATCTTTTATTTGAAATCAAGATAAAGTTTTAAAATTATTGTTCATCCAGAAATATTAGAAATATGAACGTCACTTAGATTATGATTTGAATCTTCAAGCTAATGGAACAGGTTTCGTATAATATGGTTGTTAAGTGAAATCGTGTCGCTATCTGCTAGCGATTTGAAGCCGATAGATCCGTATACAATGGCGACTCGTTGTTATCGTGTCAGATATTTGAATACCGTAAAGATTGTCGGCATCTTTGGATGATACATCCAGTTTATTCATTTAATGATTTTCACCCTTATATGAAATATAACGAAAATGAAAACCTTTTTGAAAAATATTTATTCATAAGACTTTAGAGATCGTGAATTACTTAAAGCTATCTCGGAGTTGTTCCGTAAAAAAATATAGGTTACAAATGAAATTCGATTTTAGCGATTAACCAATCAGATGGCTTGTACACTAAAATCATCTTAAGTTAAGTTTCCGAGAATACGGCCCCCGATAAGCGGGAATATGCGCAATTTACTAATTATCTTTCGAAATATCTATATTATTGTCCAAATGTAAAAACCCAAGGACTAACATCCGAAACGCCGTACGAAACCAAAAATCCAAAATAACAGTTTGGCAATGCATTGGTAGCAGCTAATGAACATTTCATATGAGGAAGTATATCAACCGTAATGAAGAAATAAAGAAAAGTTAAAACTGTATGTAATTGTGAAAACAATTTGAAAAGTAATAACAAAATAAAGTTCGTATTAAAGGAAAAGATGCGCCATTTTTGGTGGTTGTTTTTAATCTTTAATGTAAGTAAATAGCCTTCAGAAGTACTAGAAATGTACGAAAATCACATAATTTCACTCACTATTTCTATGTCTTTTCTATATATCATAGAGTATCATACATTGACGAGTCGTCTTTTTAAATTTCAAACGCAGATAATTCTGGACATACATGGATTTGAAGGCTTAAATTTCGACGGTGAGTTGTGAACACTATTGCTTAGCTAAAAAAAATCCCCGTTTCTGAGACTAAAGTATGATTGGTGAAAAAATGGCGCACCTATCCCTTTCAGGCTCGTAGCCAGACTGTTTGTTCGAGGGGAAATTAAAACAATTAAAAACGAAAAATGAAATAAAATAAATAAACTATCACAGATATACTTAAAGATTCACTACCTCTTACAATAAACAAAACATTTAAATTCTCCAACTTGGTCAATAATTCTGTATTCTGTTGTATATTTATTACACCAGGTAAGTCCACTGATAAACATATTATACTCTTATTGACCAAGTTTGAGAATTTAAATTTTTTCTTCATTCAAAGAGGTAGTATTCTTGTCACATTTACATGGTATATTATATAGATGTACATTCCACTCTTTCTCAAACTTAAATAACAAACAGACTTGATAATTGAAGGGCAGATGATTTGTAAGGTTTCTTTATCTTAGACTGCATGATATAATACGTGGTCACAAAACATGAACAATTTCTGAGGGAAATTAAAACCATATGTATATCATCACATTAATAATAAAAATAGATACTCTTTTATTTTACATGGGTAGGAATACACAGAGTGACATAGTCTAACATTCAGCTCATTTTTACAGTTAGGCATCTCCACAATGGTAAGTTATTATTGTAGCAGAGCTAATATTTGAGAATAATTATCTAATTATGTCAAGGTATTAGACAAGAGTTTGAAATAGATTGACATTGTGAAGATGAGATCTATGTAAAATGCTGCCTAATAAACTCATAAAATATTTGTGTTGATATTCATCTTGTATAATAACTTCTGATGGACTGGAAAATAGTGGACAATGCTTTCAAAAAAATTAAAGGGACAGCTGCGCCATTTTAGGGGGGGGGGGGTTGATTTGAGTCTGGAATATATGTAAATAGTCTTCAGAAGTATTAGAAATGTACAAAAATCGCATAAATCCTTCAAAAATAACTCAAACTAGGATTTTCTTTTTAAATTTTTATAGATGTCTTTTCTATATATAGTCTCAATAAATGACGACTCGTCTTTTTAACTTTCAAACACGGCTAATTCTGGAAACACATGAATTTTAAGCCTCAAATTTCGATGGTGAGCTGTGAAGACTATTACTGATTGGCTTAGCTAAAAAATTCCAGTTTCTGAGACTAAAGTATGATTGGTAAAAAAAAGTGGCGCCACTGTCCCTTAAAGTCTCCATTTATCCAAGATGTGCACATATAGATTAAAAACACTTAATGATCAATTCACTTGGAATTGTCTATATATTTATGAATGTCTCTATGGTTTGTGCCTTTTCGTTTGGTTGTCAATGGATTACCCTTTTCCCCTTTCTTCAATGCATGGATTTTCCAGGCAAATGCAAAACATTCAGCCTGAAAAGAAACAAAATGAAATATACTTTTACTTGCTTCTTTTCTGCTCCTGACTCAGTCCATGGAAGACCATTGGGAGGAATTATTGCCCAGGGGGAAATGGAGGGTGGGTGGCATTAATCATAAATTTCAAAGCGTAAGTAAACTAAAACTATCACAGAATCTATCTGTGCCCTTTCCTACCACATATTTGGCAGAGTGCAGGTTCAGAACGGTTGGTGATAATTGAGGAAGGTGATAGACTGAAATTGACCTCATTCACCCTGGACATGCAGAAAATAGTGAACAAACTTTTGGCCCAATGGTCACATTGAACTATCTGGAAATGTGGAGTATGGATTTTATATCCATTCATGGTTAATTGTTTTTTACATTCCAAAGAAGCTGATTTATTTTGGGGAGGAGTGATCTCACCCAGATTGAAAAGCACAGCCATCAAGTATTTTACAAGGGTGAGGGCAGAACAAAAGAAATAGACAACCATTTTTACAAGGAAAACAACTTGAGTTTATGGAGATCCTTTTTCTTCCACCTGGTCCTTGGTGAAACCTCTTGGCTTCGAATATTCCAGGATTATCTGTACCCATTTACAGCTGGGTCCACAGTGATTTCAAATAGAATAGGCCTATAGTTACTTACAGGTATAAAATTATCAGTCTTATTTTCTTCCTCTAATTTAGAGAGCTCGTCGTCTGTCAGTAATGGAAGTCGTAGATTATGTACAAAACTTTCTCCAACCTCCTTTATAGATTTCCCTTCTATAGTCTGAAAGAAAAAAATATTAATCTATATTCAAGAATAGGCTATATATTATGGAGGGGAGAAAATATTAAGCCGTTACATACCAGTAGACCTTTCGAACCAATTCATCAAAAACTGTATATTCTGTAATTCTAATGAATTATCATGTATTCTTAATCATATCATATGTGTTCTTATTGCATATAATTATTGAGTTTTAACCAATCTTACATGTCAATCTTCACTGTTACTGTTATTAACCTTTGTTACCCACTAATCTCTATTATTTTTCACCTGTTAATCCCTATAATTCTTAGTTGTTATATATTCTGGTATCTTTTTATTCTCTCATTATTTCATCTGATAATGACACATGTAAATTGTGTTGAAACTTTGCGTGTTTCATCAGTTTATTAAAGAAAAATGCTTAATTCATAATATTTCCTTTGTTACCCACTAATCTCTATTATTTTTCACAATGTTAATCCCTATAATTCTTTGTTGTTATTTATTCTCTCATTATTTCATCTGATGACAACACATGTAAATTGTTTTGAAACGTTATGTGTTTAATATTTCATTAAAAAAATATGCTTATTCCATAATATTGCCTTGTGTTTGTTATATGTACTCCTCACTTCTAAATATCGTTCAAGTCTTATGGATGTTTAGATTAAGGCATATTATAATATCTATTCTCTAGTGAAAAAGGATTATTTTTAAAACATTAGTACTTGAATAAATCATTTTTGGTCAGTACAAAATATCAGGGTAGGACAAATAACAGACCTAAAAACCTAAATAATTCATTTCTACAATAAATCATTTATATTTAGATCTATTTAACTCCTTGATAAATCACAAACACCTCCAATTTACCCTACTGACCTAGTATTTTCTCTTATTCATTAATTAGAATATTACCACTTAGAATGAACATTATAACTTTCAGACTTGGCCAATAACAGTCTATTCAACCAATAGACAAAAAACCAAAATCCAAAACAACATAGCTGCTATACATCAATAGCAGCTAATGAACTTTTCACATGAGGAAGTATATCAATCAACAGTGAGTAAGTATTTCAAAATGAAAAGTGGTATCAGATGTCTAGAAGAGTAAGCATACCGTGCCTGGTGCCACATATATATGACATATTCATCAGTGGACTTACCTAATGTCATAAATATACATCAGAATCCAATAAATCCAAAAACTATGATATTTTTGGGAAAATTAGGCCTACTTAGTTTAGAAACATCAGATGTTACTGGTATAATAATTCTATCAGATATAGAGGGTTATGGTATAACAATAACCATATCATAGCAATTTCTTAAAATAGATGCTTCCTTGCTAATGGCATAGGTTGAGATTATATCTTCAGATTTTTTAACCTGGTTCCCTCTTGTCAGGTAAGAGGGGCTGACATGGAAAAAGCGTCCAGTCGTTTAGAGAGGACAATAAACTGAGGCCTGTTATGCCACAGGCTCTCAACACTTGGAAATCGAAAAAGAGCAGGATAATGATAAATGTCCTGGCAAAATTTCCCTCATTGCACACTACATGTCATTGTCTGTCTTCATTAGCCCATAAAGTGCAGAAATGTAGTAAATCAAATCTTAACCTATACTTACTGAATTGACGTTAGCCCATTCTTTAACAGCTTTATATAAATCTAACTCATCTATACACAACTGATCACTGGTTAAAACAGTTGCTAAACAATCAGGAGACAACTCTTGAAAACCTTTTGATTTAAACACGTCCTGAAGAAAATCATACAAAATAGTTCAATATCAAAATGATCAATACAGAATTTGTACTGTTGGCCCAAGGGATATTACTATAAATTGTTCAAAATGACTAAACATCATTTTTGAAGTATAAATCCAGAACAAATCTAGTATAAATTTCTCTCGCAAATGTATCAAATACTCACATTGGATAGCATGCTAGGCAAGGTAACATATGCCCACTGGCGGCTTTGAATAGGATTTGACAGAAATCTAACCATGCAAAGCATGAAAATTTGAACTTCAAATGACACTCTAAAGGATATTGTCATCGAATTTGTTTGACCAGCCCATAGAGAACACATTCAACTACTGGTATCTGTATTATTTTCTAGATTCCAAATGTTCAATAAGCATCAATTTAAATGAGACATTATAAAGGATAGCTTCAGTGCTATAGACTTTTTTACGCGTAAGCCATATTGAATCCAGAACGAGGCTCATAATGCAAACAATAAAAAGGTTACGTTATGTCACTGCATAAAATCACCACCTTGACGTCTTTAAAGGCCTACTTCTCCAACCCCACTTACTCAAAACTAATCATATTATACATCATTAAAATCAGAAGTAATAAAGCTATCTAATGATACTTTCAGATGAATTTTACCTGCACAAAATTCTGAGAAAGGCCAGTTTTAAGCCCATTTTATCACTATTGCTTGGACGTTTAATGATGTCTCATAGGTTATTTCTTCATCTAATGTTGCCATGTTATCAATGGATGACATAATTTGAGTTATGAACCTCCCTTTCAGTATCTCAAAAACGAAGGTCTATAGCCAAAAAGAGAGAAAAATATCAAGTTTGCTCCGAAGCCTCATCAGATTAAAATAAATCTGTGTTCCACCATCTTGAATCCCTGTGAAGTAAACAATGGGATGAAACTTAAAGCTTACCATAGTATGAGCAGCAATAAACTGTACACTTTCATCTCTTAAGTCATTATTACTAAATTTAACAGCAGCTTGTATAATATCACAGGCATTACTTGTATTTAATATTTCTATTAAATAATCTGTAGTCAACTAAAATATACAAAATACTATAAGTTACTGCAGCTTGTATAATATCACAGGCATTACTTGTATTTAATATTTCTATTAAATAATCTGTAGTCAACTAAAATATACAAAATACTATAAGTTACTGCAGCTTGTATAATATCACAGGCATTACTTGTATTTAATATTTCTATTAAATAATCTGTAGTCAACTAAAATATACAAAATACTATAAGTTACTGCAGCTTGTATAATATCACAGGCATTACTTGTATTTAATATTTCTATTAAATAATCTGTAGTCAACTAAAATATACAAAATACTATAAGTTACTGCAGCTTGTATAATATCACAGGCATTACTTGTATTTAATATTTCTATTAAATAATCTGTAGTCAACTAAAATATACAAAATACTATAAGTTACTGCAGCTTGTATAATATCACAGGCATTGCTTGTATTTAATATTTCTACTAATAATCTCTAAAATATACAAAATACTATAAGTTACTGCAGCTTGTATTTTATCACAGGCATTATTAATATTTCTATTAACTAATCTGTAGTAAACTAAAATATACAAGATACTATAAGTTACTGCAGCTTGTATAATATCACAGACATTACTTGTATTTAATATTTCTATTAAATAATCTCTAAAATATACAAAATACTATAAGTTACTGCAGCTTGTATAATATCACAGACATTACTTGTATTTAATATTTCTATTAAATAATCTGTAGTCAACTAAAATATACAAAATACTATAAGTTACTGCAGCTTGTATAATATCACAGACATTACTTGTATTTAATATTTCTATTAAATAATCTGTAGTCAACTAAAATATACAAAATACTATAAGTTACTGCAGCTTGTATAATATCACAGACATTACTTGTATTTAATATTTCTATTAAATAATCTCTAAAATATACAAAATACTATAAGTTACTACAGCATGTATTTTATCACAGGCATTATAAATATTTCTATAAACTAATCTGTAGTCAACTAAAATACACAAAATACTACTAAATGCATTTGGCTAGGTGCAGTTACCACATAAAATCTACAAAATAGGTAAAATGTAAATTGCCTTAAATCTATTGAAACCATAATCCAATTAAAAAAGTGATTTATCTCCCTTGAATGGAAAAAGACTCAATATATTTGGCCTTCTGTCTACTGCCTTATAATTTTATGATTAGAACTAGCCTTCCAGCTCTGTTACTTTGACATTCATTCTTGAGTATTTTCCTTTGTAATAGCATCTCCAAAAGATTTTAGTGCAAAAAAAATCCAAGTATTGGTACTGGTAGGCCTACTGATTGATAGTTCATATTTATTTCACCTACCTTTTGCAATTCATCAAGACCATATTCTATTGAAGTCTCTAAAACATCTAATCCCTGTAAAGAAAATACAAACATTATTAGCATTCATTTGAAATTTCTTTTGAAATAAAACATGTAATAACATTGCACAAAATGATTTTTACTTCTGCATTTCATATTTTAAATCTGATCTTATCATTTTTTCAATTCATACTTCAAATTTTGTTTTCGGTGAGAAAAATAAAGTATTATTTTGTTTTAGAATTTTGTGTGAGTATCTGGGACACTAACAGCATCGTATTGCATCAATCTAATTTTTAATCTGATGTCTATTGTTCTTGCAATTCCATATAATCTATGTGTTTATGTTGTCAATATTCACAATTATAATCTAAGACATCATCAAGTATTTCTTAGATGAAAAAAAAACACAGATATCTGTTGAAAAATTGGATGCAAATACAAACCATTCCATAAATGACACAGATACACATAATAAAGCTAGAAAACCTGGCTATTATTCCTTTAATACCGGTACCGTAACTATATATAGAGATTCCTGTGCCATTTGAAAAAATTATGATCACCCAGCCCTAAAAAAATCTTCAATCTAAAACTTACAATTTTGGAGGTCATAGAAACACAGTTGGTATAAATGAATTCCAACATGGCTAGAAAGACTTCAGGTGATGTTTCAGTGAGGACTAGTGGAACATCTTTATCCTTATGTTTATTATTTCCAACTTGTTCAGAAAACATAGCTTTAAACACGGCACATCGGGAAGCTAAGATACATCGATGTGCATACATTGGCTGTTTATTTGGTCCAATCATAAACTTTATATCACTGGAAAAAAAATCAAAATTGGTACCTTCGGATCATAGTAAAATGTTTGAAAAAATTTAATGATAATTGGAGAAGAAAACTGAAATAAAAGAAGCAAAAAAAATCACCAAAATTAACATACAGTGTACTTAAAGGGACAGCATTGCCATTTCCCGCAGTCAATCTCACCTTGGTCTCAAACAGAAACTGTTCAGTTAAGTTAAACAGTATAGTATTCACAGCTTACTGTCGAAATTTGAACCTTCTTAGCATAATCTTATGTATATATCTCTTTGTAAACATAATCATATACTTCTTAATTCTTATCGAAAAAATTGAAATTTTTAACCTTTTTAGAAGGAAATCCAATAAATTCATAAAACTTGGTAATAATTCATTAAACCTAGTAATTTTGAAACATGCTTAGAAACATATTTCAATAATTATGTAGTTTAACAGATATATCGTCCTATATAGAGATTTTATTCTTTAGTCATGACACATGGAAAGTTCGACTGATGAATATATGCACTTGTTAAGTTTTAGACTTTATATTTTATATCCATATTAACAGACAGTAAGCTTATTTAAATAATTTCATCTTATGCAGTATATTATGTACAATGCATAGCACCATTGATAGAATGGCCATTAATTCTGTCACTAACTCAAATATTTCTACAGCCTATAATATGAAATGAAATATCTGTTTCAGAAATATTTCTGATATTAAATTTTGATTTTATCATCACAAAAATATTTATAACTACAAGGTGTCATACTTTATACTTCTAAGAACGCAAAGACGTTCTAGGCTATCTAATAATACTTACTACTATTCATATTTAGTAAAACGAAAAACAGTAACAAATTTTACTGGAATTTACCTATTTTCTTTACTGTTCACCATCTTTTTCATTTGAATAGCAAAGTTGGAGATGTCTCCTCGCATCACCTTTTCATACAAAGCCATTTTCTTTTCGAAACTAAAAAAAACGAACACAAAACAGTAATTATTCCTAATAAAATATTAAAATCGTATCATTTTGACGCCATGTTGTTTATGTGTTGTCAAGCAGGTGTGTGCTCGCGTTAAACACTACTTCCTCTACATTGCCGTCAGACCACAATTATTGCTGCCTGTGGTACGGTTAAAACTGATAAAATATAATATAACAGGATTTCAGCTGCCTGTATCAGTGTATCACTTCTTTTATAAATAAGATTCGGTATGATGATATCAGTTAGTGCTTTAAAGGGACAGATTCGCCATCCGTCCGACCAATCATACCTTAGTCTCAGAAACAGGAATTTTTAAGCTAAGCTTATCAGTAAATAGGCCTACTAGATCGGACTCCCAACAATAGGGGTAGCTTATATGTGGGGACTGACAAAATGGAAAGAGGCAGTCGAGGCTGGAATTCAAAATATTCTGTGGAAGCGTCATAGTCGCAAGCCTATCATTGGGCGTCTGAAAAGGCTCTCCCAAGAATACTTGCGGTAATTGAATCCATTCTGACACATATTTTGGTGCAAAAACGTCATCTCCATATTTTAATCTTTAGGTTGATTTCGGTAAATTTCTTAGATTGGTAGTTAATTATGTAGACTAGAATTATCAGAAGACAAAAAACAGATACAAAATTGTAGCCTAGGCCGATTTTTAACCAACTTTATCACATTAAAAATAATGATGATATTATCGCCTGGTTTGAAAACTGTGAAGAGAATATGGACAGGTGATAACAACTATAGCAATCACCATGCTAACCAATTAACAATATAAATTGCAGAAGAAGTTATATATAGACTGGTAAACCAAGGATCAGTTACGCGACACTAAGACTTGATCTTAATGCTTGAAATATCGAATCGAAGAGGACATATCGGAGATGATTATAATGGAGGTCGGACACATTTTAACAGGTAAATGATATACAAATATTTAAAGGACAGGTTCTCCATTCGTTTGACCAATCAGTCTCAGAAAAGGGAATTTTTTAGCTAAGCTTATCAGTATAGTGCTCAAAGCTTACTTTCGAAATTTGAGCCTTCAAATGTTCAGAATTATCCGCGTTTGAAAGTTAAAAGGACGACTCGTCTTTTCTTGAGACTAGAAATATAAATTGAAATTCTTAGTTCTCGGTATTTTTGAAGGAATGATGCAATGCTGTTACATTTCTACTATTTTGAAAACTAAATATATTCAACACCCAAATCTACCCTAAAATCAAAACTGCGAATCTGTCCCAGTAAAACAGAACCTGAAATAGGCTGTTACTCAGATGTATTCTAATCTAGCTATAGAAACAATGTCAGACAGACGACAATTTGCTACTGACCAAATATCAAAACTGCTTGTCAGTCCCAACAGTAAAGAGCCTTTCCACCAAGAGATGGTAAAAAAAAGTTATCATTTTGGATTTAGCTACATTATTTCGATGACTTATAATCTATACAGATCTAAATGCGTTCGTTTCGATCTGATTCTCATTTAAAGGAGCACCTTCACTATTTGTTCGACCAATCATACCTTAGTTTAGCTTACATAATTAGTAATAGTGTTCACAGCTCATTGCCGAAACTCGAACCTTCAAATCCATGTGTATCCATAATTACTCACGTTTGAAAGTTAAAACTTCGACACGAATTTTAGTGACACCATGCCATATATAGAAAACACATATATATCAATAGACAGTGAAATTTCTAGTTTGAGGTATATTTGATGGGATTATGCGATTTTCATACGTTTCAGTACTTCTTAAGACTATTAAAGCACAATAGAGACCCAAATCAATCCCCAATTCCAATTCCAAGGCATGAAATGAATGTTAAATTCTTTACAGAACATCATGAACACCCATTTTAAAAGAAACTATTATCTCTTTGGCAGTGTAAAGTTTTTCTGATTCGTTGAGGAACATTTGAAAATAAGTGTGAACACGGCTTTTAATTGTTATTTCTTTTTTTGTAGTTGGGTTGTGTATTATACCAAGTTTGTTGTTAGGTCTATCATCAGCGAAACAATGTGAACACACTAGTGTAACTGAATGTTATGATCCGGTTTTAAATGCAACGAACACCATTCTAAATCAGGATCGTTCAAGCAGCTCTGGAATCAAAGTGGAAAATATTTGGACAATTTGCAGGTAATGACATATCTAGGGCCTGTATAACTTGATTTACCTTCGCTATACCCAATTCTTCAAAACCATCTTAAATAGCTTGAAGGTTAGAATCCCTGTTAAAGGGATTCTAAAGAGGTTTTCTAAATTTTTTATGTGTATCGGGGGCACTTATAGCTTCAATTTGCCCCATTCCAATTTTCATTCCGACGTCTGTGGTTCTTTCAAATCTACTAAAACCAAAGCGTTTTATGACGTCACTAGAGGGGAGCTACAGGAAGCTGTTATTAATATCTATGCAGTTCCCCTATAGTGACGTCATAAAACCCATTAGTTTCAATCTCTTTACAATGCCTTTTACTTTTGTGAAATAAACATCTATTCTGTCGTATTTTCTAGATATTATTATACAGCGGAAGGATGTCTTCATGAAAGATTGAAAGGCTGTAAACGATCCAATCAGATAAACAGGGACAAGGTAGCTTTGTACAGAGACTATGTAGTGAGAAAGGGAATTGTTGGTTTGTGTGACAAACCGGACATCATTCAAGGTGAGTCGCCATAAGTTCATTTCCCCGTCCGGTGACACACAATGCATAGTTTGTACTTTAATCATCGGTCTTTCCGTATCGCGGGTAATGCACTGACCCACAAGTATCTTCGGGGTACAGTACATTCGAAGTGTCCTGTTTTACTATATTACCTCAAGCCCCGTGACACCAAGGGCGTCTCCCATCCCATTCAGTTTCACTTAGAGGATTCCATATCCTGAGATATAAAAGGGTGTCCCCCATCCCGTGAGGGTTCAAATCTCTTGACAGAAATAACGTCCCGACCCACGGATAGAAATGGTGTACCAATTCTGTGACAAAAATAGCGTGCCCATCTCTTGATACCAAACGTGTCCCTTATCCCGTGACACAAACTTTCCTACCCCGTGAAATTTGGAGCGTCTCCACCCAAAGAGGGCGTCTTATAATGAGCGTCCCCTATCCTTTACACAAAGGATAACCCACATCCCGTACTCCATAATGCAAAGGACACCCCCTCCAAGTGATAGAAAAAGTTCACCCATTGACACATTCAAGTCACCCTTATTTCAGCGTATGGAATATATAGTGATTGTATCTATGACAATTGGAATGATATTGAAGTTTGCCTGGAGAATATTGCCGGACGATTGAATAACGCTTTGATAAAACACCCCGATGATCTAGACCATTCCATCTCTTCACGGTATTGCAGGTAAATACGTATAGTCGTTACAGTTTGATTGGAATACATTCTGATCACAGAAAACTGCCGTCGTGTTTAGTAAAACTCTCTGTAGCAATATGCATCCATATTCGATTCTTTGGTGTGGTTTTGTACTGGAGAGTATTGCTTTTCTGCGAAAAATGGAGTAATAGATGGCATATCACGTGAATAATTGTCGTAGACATGCAATGTTTTTCTTTTAAACTCAGAAGTTCTGAAATAGGCTAAAATCGGCTTAACAATAGGCTACCCTTTGAAAACCACTTATTCATCTTCTGTAACGTGTTGGTTTTAAATCCCTCCCTACCGCACCTATCGCCCCAACCCCTAATAAAAATTTGCGGTAAAAGTAGTAATGTTTATTTTAAGGATCGCAGATTTCATACTAAGAAATTTGGCGGAATTTTTGGTTACGTCTTTTTTTTTTGCATAATAAAACGAAACAAATCAAAAGCCTATTTCTTTTCTCACTCTAAGATATTTACAACAATAATTTAAAACACACCTTCATTTCAGTTTTGTTCAAGATATTTTAAAATGTTCTTACAATCATATGGCAGCTGTGTGTGGACACGAATCTGGTCAAGTTATGAGATATTTAGTCAGAGATTACCTTCCGATCAAAGCTGTCCAAACATGTGTTGATGAAACGCTCCACGCACCTTTTGGTTATGATGACGTCAGTTCCGGTGGAGATGATGCATTGTTTTTAGGTTTAACTGCACTGGTTGTAGGGGGACTTATGTTGTTTATTTCCATGGCTGTTATGTAAAAGAATAAAGCTCCAGCAAACAAAATTTGTTACCAAGTGGATGTATGGTAGTTTTGCTTAGAAATATACTCGTTCGTAAAGCACTGGCATTTTACATTTAAAATCGTTTCTAAAACGTTAGCTTAGTTCAAGGGAGGTAACTTGTGTTGAAATTGGTATTTGGAAAGAGGTTTCACAGGAAACATTAGTTGAGGGGGCGAGCAGGGACACAGAATTTTCAAGGGGGCCACAGTCTACTCTGCTACTCTGCTACTCTGCACCCCAGCATCATTTTCTAAGAATTTACATCCGTAAATTTATTACATTCAAGGGAGGTAACATCTAAAGGTGTGTGAACACGAACGGTCTTGGTCGGAGACTTTTGTCTCTTGACCGGTACGGGCACACGAGGAGACAAAAATCTCCAGTGAGTCGTTTTCCCATGAAAATGAATCTGATTGGAAGATGACGGTCTGTCATGCAGACGATAAAGCTATCGGAGACAATTATCAAACTTGTTAGATATTATGAATCCTGTCGGCGACACGATAATTGTATCGTTGAAGCACGCGCACACACGAGATTCGAGTCGGCAACAAAAATCTCCGACCAAGACCGCTCGTGTGACCGCACCTTAAGAAATTGTTTTGGAAAGAATTCTTCGAAAGAACATGATCGATTTAAATTTTAATAATATATTTTATTAATAAATAATCTTCATATACAATACATACATAAAACATAAAACATAAAACATAAAACGATCACATTTGGCACAAATTGTAGACAAAAATATTGAGCAGAAATAAATATCGCACCTCCTTAAAAACTTCGAGCAATGTGTTCACATTTTGTTATTTATGGATTCACATTTTGTCTCCTAATGATTTTGTTGTTCATTGTTTGAGAAAGTTTCACAACTCCAACTGGACGGAATTATAATCGATGGCTTATTAAACGATGGAATAGTCTAATTTGTGGCTTTTATCCATAGATAACACTTTTTTCGATCATTTTGACGACCATAAAACTTTAAATATATTGCACACGTCACCATTAGTTACTTTCTCACCGGTTATTATATCATGGAATGGAATTGATTATAGATGGTTCTGTACCGTTACTTTAAAAACCTGAAAAAAATAATCAAAATGATATAAGATTTCTAAAACAGAGAATTAAAGTGAGCTTAAATAGCTTCTCCTTTTGCACACAAATTCGTGCGTTCTTGTCAGTGTCGATGGTTCGTGTTGATCCGTGGTATTTCCATTCTTATGTAACATCTGTTGGCCATTCATTTTCTAGAGTTCACATAGCTTTTATTACATATTTAGTAAACTCGTTTCACGAAAGCATTAAAGGGATTGTAAACAGGTTTACTAAATTTTTTATGTGTATCGGGGACACTTATAGCATCCATTTGCACCATTCAAATTTTCAACCAGGCGTCTGTAATTCATACAATTTTACTTAAACTAAGAGTTTTATGGACAGATTTTGCGAGTGACGTGATATACAGTTTAGTATTTCTATAATTACAGGAATGACGGAAAACTGGCGGACACTCACTCATACAAAGAGAAGCCATACATGGCCCTGATCTTAAAAGTGTAGAAAACCTCTTTACAACTCATTAAAAAAATTTTTGAAGTTCTTTACGTACCTCTACAAACTGTTTTTAAAATGTCAAGTTTAAAGATCGGCAAGTCATCATAAGATGGTATTATTATTACGTTATCACCGCCATAACCATTGGCTATCATCTTTAAATTTTTCATATTGTCTTTTTTACCAATGTATATCACATAGGTTTCAATCTTTACAAATTTATTTCTTTTCGCTTCTATTTTAGCCTTTTTCGTTATTTCGACATTTTCATCTAAAAATACCACAGCCGTTCTCTGCATACCCTTTCTTCCTCGTGAAAAACTTCGTCTCATTCTTCTAAGTAAATCAGCCAAATTTGGAAATCGAATCTTAGCGATTTTGTCTTGTAGATCTTTGATTCCTACCAATTTTCCTCCAGCACTCAACCCCGAGGATTTGCTGAGCATCATCCCGGTATTGATGTCACCATTGGTGTCAAATTCTCTTAATATATCGTAAATAAAGCTGATGACGTCACCAGCTCGACTGGTTCCCAAACCAAAATGTTCTACTCCAAAGATTACGTCAACTGGTCTTTTAGCTTCACAAACTGCAAAATAATAATAGGACAAATAAGGCAAAGAGAAAGAAACGAAGTTTTACTGTTTTGGAAAGTGAAAATGACCAACTGTTTTTGCAGTTCGTCTACTGATAGTGCGCCTAGATCATCATCATTATCATCATCATCATCACTTACTAAGTAGTTCTTCCTACTAAATGATTAACTAAGACTCGCTCTACAGTTGTTCTTCCAAATAGATCTGATGTGGGTAATTTAAGCATGAAAGGCTATCATTTCATTTATGCGTAACCGAGTTATCAATTATTCGTGAGATTTAAAAATCAACTTACCTTTGACTTCACCTTCAAATGGGGGACTTATCTGATCTGAAATATATAATGAAGATATTAAAATTACTTTGATAGTCACTAGTTAGTGCGATTAATATCTTAGATTGCCCGAAGAACTTGTTTCGGGTTGCGAGGGAAGGCTTCGCCACTCGGTTGTCGGATTACAGACGATGGGGTTTCGAGGACTTGTTGGCCTACCTAAATATAAAAAGGTCTACTTACAGTCACATTCCTTGATGTGAAGAAGGCTGATTAATGATTCTACTATCTTCAGATTATCATGTGAAAACACAAATCGTTCTGCTGGAGAAGAGGCCATGTGCACCATTTTTGACTTTCGGCCAGTCGTTACTGTGAAGATATACACTCCCTTTTTCTTTAAGGAATTGGCATTCCATGATTCCATTTTAGACTTTCCAGAGTTTCCATTGGTTAACATGATAATAAAATGTCCTGCGTCTCGTCGAGATCCAAAGTCGGTGAATACTTTAGTGTCCAAATAACTCAAAACGTTTCCGGTATCTTTTTTCCCGCCAATTTTAGGAACTGCTGCAATGGCGTTTCTTATTTGATGATGTTGGTCCAAGACTCCAGATCGGATAATAAGTTTTGGTTTGTCGCCGTACGCCACCACGCCTACTCGAACAGTATCTTGCTCCAGATAGAACAGATTTACCAATTCACTAGCATACTGTTTCTGTTTCTCTACCTCCTCTGCTGTGACGTCATCGGATGTATCCAGAACAAAATACACGTCCGCGGGTTTCCCTCCACATCCTTAAAGGAAAAAATGATGATGAGATAAAATTGTAGGCCAGATTCATTGCTTTGAGTTGCTCACTTGAAACGAACAATTATGCTTATTGAGTGAATTAAATAAAAACCATGACTATCATATTCTGCTAATGGGGAAAGATACCCTTGCTCCATTTTGACTCTCCTGCAAAGACTTCATCCAAAGTCAAAGTCAAGGTGATCTATGTGTGTTTTAAAGGCAAATAAATCTCAATACGCAATTTCTTACCATTTGGAACTGTTTTATAAGAGGTGTCTCTTTCACCAAACCATGTATGAGAGTCTGATTGTAGTCTGTTAAACCAATCTAGAAAATAGAATAAAAATCGGTCTCTAGGATGATTATTTTAACATACGTGGTATTTTCTTTGATAATGTCATTTTCACAATGTCAAACTATTACGAAGTACTTCTACTACTTTGATATCATTAAGCTTTTTTGTATCAATGAAGTAATTCGATTGGATTGTGCGCTAGCGAAAACAGCCAATCAGCCCTCGACATGTTAAAAACTGTGAACCTCTGGGCTTTTGCACAGACTAAATCGTCTGGCCATTGCTCTGATTGGCTGTATTCGCTAGCATACGGGGATTACTCTTTTTTTTAAATCTAATAAACATCACGGTATTTACAAACTTCCGTGATGCAAGAAAGGTGCCAAATGATGTCAAGGTATAAGACGAGGTTCGTAATAGCTTGCCATTGAGATGGCAGATGCCGTTAGCTCTGCTGCAAGTTTCTTGGCTTGTTTTGGGTAATACTAATACGGGGTTGTGGCAGATCGTGTCTATTTTGACCTTTTATAGAATTATGGAGAATGTAGACAATTTGACTAATTTTGATTTGACAGGATAAAATAACAATTTGGTGACATATTAACCTTTGTTAAAGGCCGTTTTCAGATAATTACATTAACGAGGATTATAATCTGCACGTATGTATTCCATACAGTCAACGGCAAGAATCGTTTGGTATTGTAGGCCTACATCAAATTGTACTAAAGTGAAAGGTATTATAAAGAGGTTTCTTAATTTTGTATGTGTATTGGAGACGCAGATAGCATCTATATGCATGCACCATTCAAATTTTCAATTAGACGTCTGTGGTTCCTACAATTCCACTTAAACTTATTTCATGATGACGTCGCTAATCGCGAAGAACCTTGATATTTAAAAGGCATTTGTAACGTTTATGAGACATTTGCCACGTCTTTTACTCTATAGCCTTGAAAATGCAATAAAAGCAATAAAATATAAAGCTTACCTGTAGGTTTTCCCTCACTACCTAACACCTGGAAAATACAAAAAACATGGTTTCAGAAAAACATATAGAAGCCTGATATCGATATAGAGAAATTCAATTGTATAAATTCAACTTTTTACGTGTACAAGTACTTGCTATTTTCAGTCAGACATCTGTAGTTTTGCAATTTCGCTATCTAACTATCATAAAAGTTTTTAAAAAAAGTGGAATTGTAAAGACCCCAAACGCCTGACGTAAAATTGAAATGGTGCAAATTGATACTTTCAGTGTCCCTGATATACGTAAACAAGTTAAGAAAATTGCTAGACAATCCCTTTCATGTTTAATAAAAATCTAGATACTTATCTGCTGAATACAAAATCTATACTTATTCATGGACAATTTAATCAAATACCTTTGAAATTTAAAATTCTGAATTAATTTTCGGATTTTGATAATGTTTCAAAATTAACTAAATATTACACTAGTTTCTTAAATAAGTTCTGATATACTTCAATATACTCACCAAAAGGATAGTTACAATAATACTTCCAATAGAATACATCTTCTTATACAATTACTGTTAACAATAGCACTTGAAATATATATCAACTTTAAAACTTGTTAAATAAACTTCTTATATTCTTAACACTTTCACTAAGTAAGTATTTCTTCACTTGAATAGCTTCATCTTAATCGTCGGTATTTATACAGAAATAATTTGGAGGCGGGGAGTTTCTCGCCCGCTGATTTTATTTTCATTCATAAAATTACTATACCGTAGTACACACTTCCTTATATGGTGTATATATTTCCGTCATACTTACCGAATATATGAATTGCATCCAATTAAATCAATTATTAACATGTTCGGTAAACTCCGTCATACTTCGTTAGAAGTCGCCCAGTATACGGAAACTGACGATGTTTACCGAGATTTAAGAACTAACACAAGTGTATTTATTTATAGGCAGTCATAACACGCGACTGGAACGGAAATCTTTTCAATTTCTCGTCATTTTCAAGAAAAATGTAAACTATTTGACCGAACCTTGATATTCTATACGAGAAAATTTTTCCAAACCCTGTTTAGTGTACAATGTCCATTGAAAATTTCTTTTTTTTTTACGATTTTAACTCTTCCTTTTTTCCGCATGTCCTACATACACGGAAGAAGTAAAATTTAATTTGTCCACCCTTATGTATTTAAAATTCCATTAGGCCTGCTTACATTAAATAATTTGAACTTATATAATATATTCTATGAAAATCTTAAGTATCTGTAAAAAGGACAGAAGATCTGAACAGGGAGTTTAGAACGTCCAGTGGGTAATGGAAGAGAAATCCAACGAATTATCCAACAATCAAGTTTGGCACAATGGCACGTTTTCCTTACTCACAATACAATTGGATCATAACTCTATTTGCAATACGAAGTAGTCGACAATTACTGACCATAGTGCCCTGGTTCGGGTGCCCCCAATCCCCTATCCCCTCAACTCCAAAATAGTAGACCTTGGTTCAGTGAATTGTTCGAAGTATAGCACAGCACAGGGTACAGGTAGCAAAGGGGGGATTCCATATTTCGGGAAGCATTGACACCCCCCCCCCCCCCACTACCCTTTTGCCCCTGTACCCTGTGCTGTGCTATACTTCGAACAACTCATTGAACTAAGGTCATAGTGTTTTTTATTAGAATTATGTCTACCATTTCAAAAACATTCAAAATCAAACTGCCAGGCATTACCCCTTAAAATGACCGACATGTAGAATTTTCCTTTTTTTTTGAGTTGACATTTCAATTCATATTAGAATATGAACAGCAAATTCTATGGTTTAAAAAAACTGTAACAAAATATTGCCACAAAAATTTAGGATAATCCTAAGAATGGAATCTTAACAGTCATAATGAGAACTGTCTTTATCGCGTGCATCAAAATTTGTCATTACTAATTTATTTAATAGTTATCTTAGAATTCTATTTTTAGTGAGATGAGGAAACGTTGCAGATAAACCAAGAACCACTTTTAGTAGACTCAGGTCGGTGTGAGAAATATGCTTCAAAGAATATCGTAGGTACAGAGACACAGATATTCACAAAATCATATCCAGCGACCAGAATTTACCGTCAAGAACAGTTATTTTTAGATTACCAGTACGCACCAATATTATATGTAATTATGGTGGAACGTAAACAGATATGAATAATAAAGAGTCACTCCTGATGAATACATTGCTAGAACATTCCTGTCACTCTACTGATAACATCTGGAGTCTTAGACAATTACTCTGGAATTTCGTAAACAAATTCCTTTTATGGTTTCCCTGTTTATACTTATATTTCATATTTTCATCGTTCTAATAGTTGAAGAGGTTATTTGTTTGGTTCATAATGATATCATAATTATATCATAATGATATCATAATGATTTCATATTGGTTTCAAAAAGATTTCATATTGATTTCATAATCATAATGACATAATTATGATTTCATATTGATTTCATAATGATTTCTTATTGACATAATTACGACCATAATTATATCATAATGCATTTTGATTTCATAATGTTTCATATTGATATCATATTGATATCATATTGATTTCATATTGATTTATTGATTTCATACTGATTTCATATTGATTCATATTGATTTCAAAGTGATTTCATAATGATTTCGTATCAATTCCATATTGATTTCATTCGATTTCATTATGATTTCATAATAGTTTCATTCTATTTTTATTAAATTTCATTACATTTCATCTTCATGATTAATTCATATTCAAAATAAATTTTATATTGATCATATAGTTAATGATATATTAATTTCATGATGATTTCATTAGTCTTCATTATAATTTCATTATGTCTTCATTATGATTTCATATTGATTTCATGTTGATTTCATATTGATTTCATATTGATTTCATATTGATTTCATATTGATTTCATATTGATTTCATATTGATTTCATTATGATTCCATAATGATCACATTATGATTCCATAATCATTTCATATTGATT